ATTTGAAGCAGTAATGATCTGGCAGTTTCCTCTCCCAAAATCTCTCTAAGGATTCTGATACTTCCAATTGCAACATGTAAACAATAAAATAAATCTAAAATCAGAATTGTCATATGGCATAGAGAGAAGCCAAAATTACCAGGAGCTACAAAGGTTTAAGATGTTTTTCTCTTGTACATGGAGGTTACCAGGATTGATGGCATGGAAAGTTTGGGAATTCCTCAGCTGCTTCAGCTCAGTCAAGCATTGCAGCCTACTGTGTTGATCCTGTGGTTTGCCAGTGTTGCTGCATTGCTGGAATCTTCTGGCGTTTGGGGTAGGACCAGATGAAGTCTCTGCTCGTGCTCACACACTGCAGGAAGTCTTCCCAAGTTTCACATTTAACATCCTCTTTTATGCAGAATGCCCTCAAATTCTAATCATAGGAAGCAGGACTAAATCTTTAAAAGGGTATCCATTAAAAATATGGATATAGATGTATATATATACATATACACATATACATTGTGCTTTATGTTTTCTGACTTCTATGAGAACTGAGCTGTACTTAAGAACAATAAACACGTGGAACCAGAAGGTTATTGTCTTGGGGGATTTTTTTTGTGGACATCACAGGAAGAGGAAAATGTGGAAAATTATTGCATAAGGTGACATATGGATGGTTTTTTTTGGTAAAGCCTGTGAAAAAAAAGGTGTGGCTATCATCTTCTTGGTGGTCAATTACACAGCACAGGTCCAAAGGTCCAAAACTCTCAAGATATAAATAGACCTAAATATTTATAGTTGCATCTGTAATGTTCATTTTAACTACACATATAAATACTTGGAGCAAGTGACATTGTGGTAGACCAAATGATGTACTTTAATATCTTTGAAATGGATAAGCTGTGCCCTGAAAGACAGGCATCTGAAACCAGGACAAATGTACCAGGAATCATCGGGTCAAAAGTGCTGATCTTAGAAAACTTTAGGGTTCACTGACCTCTATTATATTTTATATTATGCATTAACCTGTTTGTATGTCTGTGTCCAAAGAAGCCCATCACAAATATTATGCTACTATACAAATACTATGAATATGTTAATTAATTGAAAATGAAGAGTTGGAAAAGAGTTAGCAGCAGCCATGTATGTCTCAAAAGGAGTCATATTTTCAACCTTCAATAAACTAATGTGGACTGGAGGAAGAAGACATTCTGCCCAGCATTAAAGAAGCATATTGAAATAGAAAATAAAAAAACAAATCCAAGCTTATTCAAATTTCATGAATTGGAAAATATGAGACTCACTTAACTCTCATAATTAAGTGTTTTTTGAGTAATGACTTCTGGTTTAAGTCCTGAATGATCTATATGTCATCTTCATTTGGGCAGAGGAAATAAAATCTGACAGAGGTGAGTATATTTTGAAAAAAATTTGCATTATCTGTTTTCCAGTGAGAAACTGAGCAAGTACAAGCATTAAGGCTAATGAAAAACAACCATATGAAATGTTCTGGATGTGGCCAGTATGAATACTTGATCAAAAATTGTTACAATTAAGGCATCATGAAATTTTTTTGAAACTTTACACAGAATAATTTTTTTTTATTATCATAAGAAACAATGATGAGTGTTTCTGCTCTGCTATTGCTAGCAATATTTGCTAATGCATATTTGAAAACACAGGTATCTCGCATATAATTCTACCAGTCTGTGAGGAGTATACTCTTGACAGCAATAAGGTGTTTTGATTCACCAGAAAGAACCTAAAAACACAGCAATAACAAAGTAGTGCACAAACATAAAAAATAGTGGTGGTATTTTTATATGTCCATATAGTGAACTTCTTGGAATATATTATGTCAGTCCTCATTTATTTCATCTTGAAATACTCAAACTGTTATTACCTGGATTACATTCAGTCTTGGAACAATCCTAAAACATTATTATTGCCCAACAATGTGAAGTTAAGTGCTTATAAATAAAGCCTCTTAAGCATAGTGCAAAGAGTTATTTCTGATGGAGTGCAGGGCATTAAAATGCTGCTAGATGATATCCCAGCTTGGGTTTAAAGAATTAATGAAGAACAAATGTTCTAAGTGACATGTAAGCATGAAATGCTCTCTGTGGGTTGACCTTCATTCTTCTGCAGTTAGTTAATGAGGATTCTCTTTGTTATCTTTCTTGCTGAAGAACCTCAGGGCCTTGTATCATTATTGAATGAACACAATGTCACCTCAGCTGGCAGAAATGTTTTGTCTTTTGTCAGGAAAAGAAGTTTCCTCATGTCAGCTGGTGAAAGCACAACACGGCAACAAGCAATGGAGACCAGACATTTCAATTCAGCTAACTTAGCCCAGTGGAGATGTTTAACCTGCTGTAGCTGTTTTGATCAAAATATTCAGGCTTCATTATTCTGTGACTCTTGCATCTACTTCTCAAGTTTGTGATGCATTGTTATAAATTAATGATAAACAAAAGCATTTTATCTGGAGAACTGCTCTCAATATTCCCCTTTTAGCAGTTAATTACCATTTGTTGCAGAACAGTATGAATTTTTTGAAATGAAAGCTTAAAGAACAGCTGCTTTTTATCCAACTCAAAATGACAAGTGTATTGTTAACTATCAGTGGATCTTGTGAGGTGGGGATCACATCTGCTCAGAAAACTGGAGCTGGAACTTTGAGCTTTTCTAGGAGCTGTATCAGATTATGCAGAGCTATGTAAGGGGTAGAATGATAATTGCAAGTTTCATCCCACATGAGTGTGTTATTTTGGCACCTATGGTCCTTCTACACCACAGCAGAGCCTCCCCTATCCCCCTCTTTCCCCCACCCCAAAAAAGAGTGACTCTTCTATCTCTACTTAAAAGTGGCACAGGGTGAAAATGCACATGGAAGGGGAGAGAAGGCAGTCATTGAAAACAGTATAAGGAAAGGTTATTCATGAATTATTCATCCTGGTGTTGTATATACAAGACATGGGAGCTTATCATGGCCATACAGAAGATCTCTGTTGAAGGAAGGACAAGGTGTGCAGGTAGCAATTGGTAACAAAGTTTTACAAACAAAAAGGCAAATACCTTTTTTTTCCATCTTTTTTGGCCAGTAAGAAAAAAACCTGACCACTGGGGAATGCTTTCCTCAGTTTCCTGTCCTGTGGAGACACATGGAGAAACGCCTTTTTTTTTTTTTTATTCTCCCCTCCCAAAAAAAACCTCCACCAAACCAAGCAGCAAAAAACCACCACACTCTCAGAGCCCCATCCAACCTGGCCTTGAACACTTCCAGAGATGGGGCATCCACCATTTTTTTGGGCAACCTGTTTGAGTGCCTCACCACCCTCACATTAAAGAATATCTTCCTAATATCTCATTAAACCCTGCTCTTGGTCAGAGTGAAGCCATTCCCCCTTGTCCTGTCACTGCAGACCCTTGTCCCAAGTCCCTCCCTATCTCCCTTGGAGCCCCTTTAGGCTCTGGAAAGCTCCACAGAACCTTCTCCAGCCTGAACGACCCCAACCGTCTCAGCCTTTCTTCACAGCAGGTGCTTCAACCCTCTGAGCATCTTCATGGCCCTCCTGTGATGCCATCAGACCTCTTTCCCATTCCACAAAGACATATTCAGATTTTAATAAATCACCCCAGGACCAGTCTGCTCTCTGGCAAAGCTTTCTATGAGAACAATCCTAGAAAAGAAAGAAATTCAGTGATCAGGCTTTCCTTTTCCTTTTCCTTTGGAAAGTCAGAGATACTGGCAGAAATTTTTATTCCAGTTAATATTTGTCTATTTTCTACTTAGAGACATCTTCCCTCACTCTTGGATTTTGACCGGAATTTTATTTTGCCACTTATTCTTTCAGAAGTGTGGGGGAGCTAGGATATTACAAAATAAATTGCTTGTGATAAAACAGATAGGAACAAAATGTGGTTGGAAATTTCAGATCACTCCAATCAGCTGAACCTTTGTGTGAGATAATGGTGATTATTTTATTTAAATAGGTTTGCCTACTTTAATACTGTGAAGAGCAATACTCTGTTATAGTCTGTGTCATAAGGTAATGAGCAACAGCAAATGAGACCTGAAATGATATGATCTATTCAGAGGTTTTCTTATGTTGCACTTTGCCTTTTAGTCACTTTCCCTTTTTTTTAAAAAAGGGTATTAGACACATATTATCATCAATTCCATTTGTTATTCATATATAATGGGGAAGAATGGCATTTGTGAGGTTTGTTATCCCAATATTCAGCTTATCTTCAATCTCATGAACTACATTTTGGAGCCAACAGGCACATATGTTTTGTTAAAGTCATTAAAATAATGCTGTATTAAATACTTATCTAAAGTAAGACAAGTACAACTGTGTTACCTTCTGGTTATTAGGATACATATGTCTAATATACATTAATTTTGGAGTCCCTTAGGGGACAGCCTTGTTATTAATACAGCAAAGAACAGCTGAGTGAGCATATGGTTTATTAAGACATGCTTATATTAATTACATGTGGATAGTGTTCAAAAGGGTCACTGGTCTATAACAGAGAGACCCTTTGTGATCACTGCTTTGAACCTCAGAGCTCAGTAGGATTACTCTTGATCCAATCTATTTGTCTCTGGCTGGAAAAATCATTATATTTGTGTCTGGGTTGGAAATTAATGAAACACTTCAGAACTCAAGACCGTGAAAACTCGAGCAATTAATGAATATGCAAAACTGAAGGAAATTTTGCAGGCATGATGAAATTGCATGGGGGAAGGTCTAGAGCTCCCTTATTTCTGTAATACCTTATGCAGCAATCTGACCCATAATGCAGCCTTACAAATGTACATAATAAAGCAGAATAATCTAGTAGTTGCAGGTCAGATTTAAAAATCAGTTACAATCCTGTCTGCATGGTTTCCATCCTCACACTGCTCAACTGATTTGCTTTTTGAATATTGCAATTCCTGCTCTGTTACTTAAACCCAGTGAAAACTGATGATGATCTGTTATTCTTAAGGCTGTTTCTCATTCCAGGAGATGACATGTTCTGCACTGTCTCCTGCAGGGCATCACTGCATCTTTTCCTGGAGTGCCAGGCAGAAGACTGTGTGAGCCTGAAAATAAAAGTAACGTGGATTTAAACCTGGAGAAGAAGACCCAGCGTGGAACAAGCTGAGGACCGCTCAGTTTTATGTTTCTTCCTCCAGCTTTAACACTTCTCTGATTCCAGAAAAGGTGCAGTTTGGTCCAACACCTGGAATCCCCTGTGCTGTGTCTGCTGTGCCCTATGACGAGTTATGGACCCCCTGTGACGCAGCTGGAGCAGGGCAGGCTGGGCTTGGCCTTTGCTGTCACTTGGCTCCTGAGCAGGTGCCTGGTTTGCTGCACAGAACACAACTGCAGGAAGAAAATGCACTGAGAGGAAAGACTGTTCCATTAATGTTTCTCCTTCTCCTGCTGGATATAATAAGAATGCCATGTTGGATCCTTTCCTGTGTTAGCAGAAGCTGAAAATTCAAACATAATGAGCCGGGCCCCAGAACTGTGAAAGTAAATCAGTGCAGTAAGAACAACCTTTTAGTAATATTTTCTACACACTTCATTTTCTTTACATTTCTTGAAAACTCAAGACATACTTTTCAGTACTACTTCAAGAGCATTAGGGCAGGATCTGTTCATAAATTGCATCTGCAGCCCTGAACCTGTCATGCAATTAGTCTTGGGGCATTGAGGCATTAACATAAACTCAGCTGTGAGATGTGGAAGATCAAAAGTTGGTCCAAGAGTATAAAAATAAAAGCAGTGTAAACACTTCTGTGCTTCTGAGTTTATCACTACCTTTCTTAAAATTTTCCCAGGATGTTCAGCAGCCTGTGGGGTGGGTGGTCAGGAAGGCAGCGTGTCCCAGGGTTGCCTGCTGAGAATGAGGGGGCTCTTCCTGACTGGGGATGCCATTCCTGTGACATTCTAGGGTTGTTCCTGTCTTCAGGTGAGAAGGATTAGGTGGGGCTTCATTTGCCAGTCCTCCACAGAAGGTGAGGGTAGCATGTGGTGGGGTGGGGTCCTCTCTCTGGGACCTCCCACCTGCAGTGGCTCCTTGAGTCCACAGCTTGGGGCTTCCAGAACGTTTTGCCACTGCTGAGTTGTGAGGAATAGCCTGGAACAATATGGTGCTGGAGCTGCTCCTGGGAAAGGAATTTCTTAGGTTCCCCTGGCTCAAAAAAAGGTAACAATGGCACCTGGATGGACTTAGTTGATTTGTTTGTATTTGGCTTGGTCTAAAAGCTACTCTCAGTAGATGAGTTGGCATTTTCCTATGCTGTTTTGGCTTTTAATAAACTGTTTCAAGGTGTGTGCAGGAACTATCTGCCATTTGAGATGTGTGGGAGGGGTGGTTTCTGCACCATGGCTGAGGTGCAGAGAGGCTGTGGGAGATGGGGAGGATCAGCAGCCTTTTGGCTGCAGGTGTGGCTAACCAGATGAGTTTTAATAATGGATTTGGTAGTGCTTGGTTTATTTGGTGAGTTACTTAAGGAGAAACAACAAAATAGAGATCTTGAGGTTGGAAGGGATGGTAGGAGCGAACCACAGAGGGGCACATGAGGCATCCATCAGGTAACTTTCCTTGACTGGGTGGTGATAACTTGATAAACATGAGGGATGATAGTGCAGTGTATTGACCTTGTGGCGTGGATACTCCTAACAGACTCAGAGGTGTTGTGCCTAACTCTGGGTTTCTCTAGCTCTTTAAATGACCTGCCAACATACAGCTTTTTTTCTTTATTACCCTTTAAAACAGGGGAAGCATTTTACAGTGATATTCTGAGAGCAGCCTTTGGTAGGGAGCCCTGGAGGACAGTCTCTCCCCTATGAAGAAGAGGCCTTACTAGTTCTAAAGATGAATTCTATGCAATTTCTTATTTCAGCATTTAGTTTTTAAACCTTTTTAGTTACTAAGCCTGGTAGCTGAGTTGAAAAATCAGGGGGGTTGTGAGTATTTTTTCGGTCACACAGTGTATGCAAAGAAAAGAAATAAATGTGATTATAAAAACAGTAAGGTATAAGACACTTTATTATCTCCTAAAGTATTCTTCATAGTCTTCAAGAGCACATACGAACACCTGCTTTATTCAGTGCAGGGATGAAGCATCTGTTGGTTTCATTGGGAGTTGCAAACGTATATTTATAGAGTGTTTGGTGACTGAAATGAAATATGGACCTCTTAAGCTTCAAAGTTCTTTTGTTATATGAGTTTTTTCCTAACTTAATTAGTAAAGACTTCTGAGTGTTTGGCATCTATTAGGTGTTCAGGAAGTTGGAAAACAAAGCTCCTAAACAGTGCTGTGCTTGGTAAAGGACTGCATATTCTGACACTTTTCGACTGAAAATACTTGGAAACTGACACAACTCCATAAAGTTCTAATACAAGAAGAGCCAAGTGTTTTACTTTAATCACAGTAGAAGGAACAGCTGAGGTATAGTGTAACAGCAATAGTTCCAAGCTAGAAGCCCACAAATAATATAGCTACAAATTATATTGTCAAGAGAATCCAAATACTTTGTATTGTAGTCTAATACATATTAATTTGAGAGCCCTATAGGGGACAGTCTTGTTATTAATACACAGAGGAACAGATGCAATAGCATATGGTTTACCAACTTGTATTTATGGTAATTCTATGTAAATAGGATTTTAATAAGGTAACATTAGTCTATAGCTTCATTTTTGTAATATATCTTTCTGCTTTTAAGATGATAATGAAATCATCTAAATTGGGGTCTAGGATCATAGTACTGGGTAGTGGAAAGAGTCTATTTTATGTAAGACATAAAAATGGGTAAAAAAGTATCCCCTTTTAAGTACTGTGCCATAATCTAAACTTTCAGTGAAGAAATTGGAATTTTGAAATTAGTATTTTGAACTTCCATTCAACCTTCTTGGAGAAGCTTGCAAAATTTTGTTAAATCCCAGACAATTTCCAGCATCACCTTAAATCTGATGTCTGTTGAACTTGCTATGCAGCTCCTCTCTTGCTGTCAGTTGGGAAAGTTGTGAATGCATCTTTGAGTGAGCTCAGGCCTCTCAGCAGCTTTCTCTGGGGCACAATTTTTTTAATTATGCTCCCAGGCACTGCTTGGAGCCATTTCAGTCTGTGATGAGCCCAGAGTAAGCAATCTGTGTTCCTGCAAGCAGGTGAGGAAATAAAGTACTAATCAGCACTAGTGCTTCAGAGGGCTTTGGAAAACTTTCTGCCTGCTATTAGGAATTTCTGGTGAATCAACTTTTCAAACTATACCCTTGCAGCTCAACAGAATTGTGTCTTTGAGGTAGCACTAAAGTTCTGTTCTCTGGCCTAAAAAGCCTTAAATTGCATTTTCTGTAACTTCCTGTTCCTGACTGAAAAGTTGTAAATAGAGGTGAAAATTTAGTTCTCCCTCCAGTAAAGGGATGTGGTTGTTTTGTTTTTTCAAGAAAAGAAAAAAAATTACCTGAAACTTGTTTTGCATTTCTAATACTCTGTGTTTTGGGATGATTTGCAGGATGACAAGTGGAAATGCAAAACTAGTTTAAGCTTAAATGTGAAAATGCAGTTTATAAAGGAGTCTAACAAAACTTTGCTGAGCAGGCATGTCAGAAATACGTTGTTAATATTTAGTTTTATTTCCCCTCCAAATTTAGGGAGGCTGTTTAGAATATCCTATGTGTCAGAGTTGTGTGGTTATGTTTTGAGTAAAGGAAGCCAGCAGTAGGATTTTGCACTGTAATTGTTTGAAAAATGCTGATGGAAGTAACAATTCAATGTCAATGCCACAAAAATTTAGGGTGCTCTGCTCCTTTCTGTTCCTCAAGTCTTGGGTGTGATCTGGAACCCAAAAACTAACTCCCCACAAGGTTCAAGTTCTGTGTTGGGCTATTAGAGCCACTTCTACACTGCAATTGCTGAGCTTCTGACCATCGCTCAGGGCTTTAGGTACAGAGAGATGCCACGGAACTGTCAGTGTCTGGGGTGGTGCTGTGGCATCTGATGGCTGGTTGTGCAGCTGCCTCAGCTGATTTCTGCATTCCTGACTTCGTGCTGGTTGCTTCCTAGCTCAGTAAATGCTTCCCTGGGACAGTTCTTATCATCATCCTGGAAGACTTGTGTTTTGCCCTCAAGTTTCCACTGACTGCCCAGGGGCTTTGAGATGGTCTTTGAATGGTACCTTGCATGTGTCTGCACTGCCACTGATCACAGAGGTGGTGGGCTTGCTGACAGCTGAACTGGTTTGTCTTACTGTCTTACTTAATGGGAAACAGATTGCCATGCTGTGATTGTAAAAGGCATGACACAAAACCAAATTCTGTTCAATAATCTATTCCATTATCTATGTGCCATCTAATAATGCACATGTTGTGACAGGTAATTCTTTCTTGTGAAACTCTGCTTCAAAGGCCTTACAAAGAGGAGCAATAATGCACAGAAATCACAGAATGGGTAAGGCTGGAAGGCACCAAAGTGGGTCATCTGGTCCATCCTGCCTGTTCAGCCTCTTTAAGAATATTTGGAAATAGTAAATACATGTTTGGGCAACGTTATGGAAACAGCACTTAAGAGATGAGATAATGAAAACGTTTTTATTTTTAGTTCCCTAGACAGATAAGCAAATACCCTGACACAGAGTGAAAACTAAACACAACAATTGAAAACACTTGTAGTTTTGTATTCCTTTGTCTATATTTATAATACACCATGTTTAAAGTGGTCAGCAAGCAATATTTCCTCTCTCCCCATGAGATGCATCTCTTCTCATAGTAAGAAACACTGGAGATTCATAATACATCCAAAGTGAAAGGACAGTTTGTGTCATCAGCAACAGAGGGATATCGGATCATACATCTTTACCTGACAAGAGGTGGCAATTTAATCTGACAAGTTTGCTGCCAATGAGGACAGCTTTAGGAGTTCAGCTGCCTTGGTAAAGATTTGACATGTCACTGAGGGATGTTGTGCATGAGCTTGACAATAAACTGGAACTTGCTAATACAGTTTAGGGTTGCTGTGAAAATTTATTAGAAACCAGAGTCTGTAAAATTACTCCAGAAATGTTTTTCTTTCCTTGCTGAATATATGTGATATTTAATGCATAGCACATGTTTAAAAGCTTGTTTCCTGGTCATGTAAAACAAATCTATTGTAATGCATGTGAAATGGCGAGGAATTCTATTAGAGCCATGCGAGAATAAGCAGAATGAAAGAGCAGAGCTGCCTTCTGGAAGCAGAGAAGTCTGTCTAAACTGAAGGTTTGATTGCTGAATGAATCTGGCCTGCTTTGAAATTTTATTCATGTGCCTGGAGAGGGGCCTACGTGGGCTGTGGATTTTAGGTGCATCCAAACCCCATGTGATGTCTGAGGAGCTCGTGCAGTTGGATTCCAGGCTCACGTGGGTACCAGAGCAAAGCTTGCAGACAGATTTTCAGCCAAGACCCCTTTTCCAAATGCCCTTTTAAGTCTGGCTACTATCTGAACATAAAGCAGAAATAATTTTGCATTTGTTTCACAAAAATAAGTAATTCATTTGAATATGAAGTGAAAGGAATTTACTTGATATGCAGCTAATGTTTTAAGTTTGATCTGGGGATTTTTGAGGTGTTTGGGATAGGGCATTCAGAATCCCAAATGGTGAAACAGAGCTCATAGCAGTTCATCATTCTGGGATGTGTTGACAAATGCCACCTGGAAGGATATTAGTTATGAACTCACAAAATTTGTGAATAAACTTCAGAATGAGAGAAGTGTGTGCATAAAAAAAGGCTGTG